AGACGTGCAGGAAGCGGTGCAAAAGTAATCGAAAACCTTCTTCTTGGAAGGAATACGCAAGCTTGTGGACCGCTGGACCAAGTGCATTGCCAAGGTTTTCGATTGGTCGCAAAGCCAGTTTTGCACCGCTTCCTGCACGTCTACGTCTGTAGAAAATTAGCGACCTCGCAAAGCATCCTTGAGCGGCCCAAACAGATGAAAGTCGGAGGGAGCAAGATCTGAGCTGCAGGAAGCGGTGCAAAAGTGGCTTTGCGACCAACCGAAAATCTTCTTCTCGGAAGGAATACGCAAGCTTGTGGACGGCTAGACCAAGTGCATTGCTAAGGGAGGAGACTATGTTGAAAAATGGTGTACACATTGAACCCCTATTTTTGTGTAAATAAATTGTAGAACGAAAAGTGCAGATAATTTTTGACTCACCCTCGTACTTCGCATAATCTACCTGCAGACGCACGAACACTATTAAAAACTCCAAGATATACCCATATTTTAAAAATGTGTGAAGGAGAATATTTTCATTTCGGTTTGAATGATATTATTCAGAAAATGCTGTTAAAAGATAATCATACATGTGTTAATTTACTTATTAATATTGATGGTTTGCCATTAGCAAAATCTTCTCAAGCATCATTATGGACCATTTTATGTTCAAATACTGTAAATAAGACAGTATATCTTGTTGTTGCATATTTTGGTTACAAAAAACCCACAGATTCTAATGTTTTCTTGAAATCTTTAGTCGATGATTTAATAAATTTTATTAATAATGGTTATATTTATAATGAAAACATAATCAAAATTAGATTGTTTGCTTTAATTTGTGATGCACCTGCTAAATCTTTTGTGTTGTGTATAAAAGGCCATACTGGATTTTACAGTTGTACAAAATGTATAATTAAAGTGTAACGGGGGCGGCCGGGGAGGCGCGGCCGCTGGCAAAAAACCGAAATTCCGGGAGAGAAAAAGAGAGAAATAGAGGCGCGGTAATTAGAAAGAGACGGCACGAACAGCTGCGCACGGGAAAATCGATAACTAAACGCGCGGTTGCCGCGTCGAAGCCGGCGAGAAAATCGATAACGCGCGGTTGCCACGCGTTGACGGCAGCCGGCAACACCGCGCCCGCCCCCGCCGCCTCTCCCCGCGCGCCTACATCCGGGGGGTATAAAAGCCCCTCCGGAGCAGGCGCTTTAACTCAGTTGACGCTTGGTGCTCCGACCGTCAGCACCGGGCAGCGGGTACCTCCGCTGCAGGTATAAGCCGGAGTTGAATGGGTGCTCCTGTCTCCGGCTATATACCGAACCGGAGCACACAGTGGAGGCACTACTCCGTTGTGGGCCCCGTCCCTCAGTAGCGTACGCCTAACGGGGTGCTCCTCGGCGTACATATGCTACAATTTCCCCGTACCGGTCTCCTGTTTCCGTCCTGACTCCGTTCCCCCCGTAATCGCGGGTACCGCCGTGTTTCGCGGGGGCGGAGTGTTTTCCGCAGTAGCGTACACCTAACGGGGTGCTCCTCGGTATACAATTGCTACTGAAAAATTCACGCATCACGAGGCGCCGCTCGGGCGTGATCCTGTCCTGACCAGATTCCTTTTCCTGATTCCTGACCGGTGTAGAACTCAGGGGGGTAATATTCGGGTGGGAAGAATATTTCTCTTTAGCTCTAATAGTAAGCTCTGTAGTATTAATCCCGTTGCTATTTCTTCCCTTGCAGACCAGAGGGGTCCGTGCAGTCATCCTGCCTGACTGTTTCCAGTAGTACCAGTGTAATCCCGTACTTTCCGTACCTCGTTATAAATCCGTATTGTACTTATTATTTTTCCGTACCGATACCGTACTTTCCGTACCCCGTTATAAATCCGTATTGTACTCTTTATTTTCCGTACTCCGCTATAAATCCGTATTGTACTCATTATTTTCCGTGTGATTCCGTATTTTCCGTACTCCGTTATAAATCCGTATTGTACTCATTATTTTCCGTGTGATTCCGTATTTTCCGTACTCCGTTTTGATTCCGTATTGTATTCATTATTTTCCGTACTGATTACGTACTTTCCGTACCTCGTTATAAATCCGTATTATACTCATTATTTTCCGTACTCCGATTTGATTCCGACTAACCATATCCTGTTTTCTCTGTATTTAATCACAGGGCGGACCCGTTGTAATATTAATCCTTTTCCTTTCCTTTATATTTTTACTCTAGGGCGGACCCATTGTAATTACCTCGATTCTATTGTATTCATCCTTGAATAAACCTCGTTCATATCGATTTCACCTTCAAACACCTGTCCGACTTATTTCCGATCCTCACAAGCGATTGACTCTACTGAGTAATTAAGATCTTGTCCTCCTTTCCTCCCGACGGCCCTGGAGCTGAGCATATTCGGCAAATAGGAGGAACGGAGGATCCCTTTTTTCCGACACGCAGCACGTCAAACACCGACCGAAAGAACGCTAGCTCTTCCGACCGATTAGTCAGAACCGCGCGTCTGATTAAATTCCGCGAAGCATAAACGGATTTCAGAATCCCGTCCGAAATCCTGAGCCTGAGGCGGCGAGCGAGGGGAGCGTTCGTTACAAAAGGAAAATATATAAATGGTAGAGTGTGCTTTCCATACAGAAAAACATTATATTCTTCTAGAAAAAATGAACTATTTTCCAATAATGCTTATCAAGATTTTCAAATTAAGTATTCTATCTTAAACAATATTCCTGGATTTTTGCCAATAAATAATACACCACTAGATTATATGCATCTTATATGTTTAGGTGTTGTAAAAATAATGATTCTTCTTTGGATAAAGGGTCCATTTTATGTACGCTTAAGTATCAGATCTATTAATAAATTATCACACTTGTTAATTTTATTGAAAAATACCACACCGGACGATTTTGTTAGAAAACCCAGATCATTAAAAGATGTTAAGCTATGGAAAGCAGAAGAGTTTAGAAATTTTTTATTATACACAGGACCCATTGTATTGAGACATGTATTAAAGCAAGACATATTTCTTCATTTTCTCACGCTACACATAGCTGTTACAATTCTTATACGTCCAGATTTGAGTGAAAAACTAATAAATTTTGCTAAATCTTTACTTAATCATTTTGTCATGTCATTTGAAATTTTATATGGTAAACAATACATGTCGCATAACATACACAACTTATTACATTTATGTTCCGACGTAAAAACATATGGTCCGTTAGATAATTTTAGTGCTTTCCGCTTTGAAAACTACATGATATCGATCAAAAAACGATTACGTAAAAATGAAAAACCGCTACAACAATTATATAAAAGATATAATGAAATTGAAAATTATAATTCTTTTTGTCAAATATTAATAATGAAACATTAAATTCATATAAATATTTACATAACAATGGTCCACTACCAGATAATTATGATGTTTCATCCCAATATTTGATGATGTCAAATGGAAAATTTAATATAAATTGTGAAGGTCATAATAATAATTGTTGTCTTTTAAGAAGTGGTAAATATGTTTTAATTTTGAATATAGTGCAAAAAAATAAAATTTTTTTTCTTATTGGTAAAAAACTTAAATACATAAAAGATGTATATGAATTACCATACAAATCCAGTGATTTTAATATAAAAGTAATGTCAGTAAATAATGATAGCATATTTTCATGGCCAATTACAGATTTATTAGGTAAAGCATGGAAAATTCCTTTCGGAAATGATCCAAATACATTTGCAATATTTCCTCTTAATTATACAATGTAATTATGTGTGTTAAATAATAATTTTTCCAATAATGTAAACTACACATAATGTATCACGGAATATTTCACATAATAGAAAAATGGACGAGTGCCTATTTATCATTGTGGAATTTCATGACGGGCTACAAGTTATACCCTCAGTATGGTGCAATGCTGATTGTCATGTATATGGCCTAGTCATATGAAAACTAAATACCGTATTAACAAAGCTATAATAGCCAGAGAGGTTCCTCGAGAAAGGTCTGATTGGGAAGAACTATCAATTAAAAGAATTTTTGGTGGGGCAAGTAAGGGAATTTTAGTTATATAAATTATCATTTAATATATGTAATTGTTGCATACATTTTTCTTTGGTTTTTAATGATTTAGATTCTTATGAACAAAGTATACAAAAATTTAGTCTAACGCAAGACACGTCAAATATAGATGACACTGGGATGTCGTCAAATGATTTAAAAGAACAAAAAACAACAAAGACGTGTAAAAGCTAAGAGAAAACTATCATCATCATCTTCTTCAGAAGATATCTGTTTAAAAAATGAAGATAATAAACTAAATATAAGACAAAATAAATTCCTGCCTCCTTTCCCTGACAGAAAGAATTTTGGATCAATGGAGAAAGCCATTGACAAGCCTACAGAAAACATTACAAATATTTTACATGAAAAAAATAAGGAAAATGTTATTACTACTATGAATAGTAATGGTGAGTTATTAAAATTCATAAATACTATATGACACTTATGACAAAAATCATTATTCATTTCTTACTTCTTAGATAAAAATAACAAGAAGCTTGCTGTGAATAATACAAACCTTCATATGCAGAATTCTCCTGAAAATATCGAGAAAGATTTGTGTGCTTATGGTACCTATTATAAAAATTTATTATTGCTATACTTTTTACTTTTTTTACCAAAAAGTCCTGCACTTAAAATTATAGTATATATATATATATATAATTATTGTACGATATTAGCAATAAATAGCAGCATTTGTTAAATAATATATGTATATTCATTCCAGAGTTCAAGAAACAAATTATAGGAAAATTGAACAAAATATTATATAAATTAGACAACATAGAAAACAGAATTAATATGACAGAGGAGAAAATGCAATTTTCCTACCATACTTATGACAACGATGAAAGCGATATCCATTTCCCGATTTCTACACTTACTGAGTTAATATCATTTGAAGATCAATTACAGAACACAAAATTTAAAGATAAAGTTGTATGTAATAAAGATTTCTTATTTTTATTATATATTATTATAGATGTTAGTGTTTTTTATAGAGTAATATGACAATTTAATATTATCTTTGATTATATTTCTTCATTAATTCATGAATAACATATTTCTGTTACATATTGTTAAAATAAAGAAAGCTGAATGTATTTACGCATTTAAAAGTCATTAATTATTATACAAAATCTATATTCAATATTATTGTTAACATTGTTAATTTTTTAGCTTAACATTTTTAAATTTGTTGGTGGAGTTAATGCACATGCCATGATACGGAATATTATGAAAATGGTAATGACAGATACTTTAGCCCAAAATTTCAGCTGGACAGGAAGAAAAAATAAACGTAGCTTTAAAGATTTAAGCCTTTCTAAAATGATCATACGTAAGTTCTTTTTAATATACTTTTAGATTAACTTGGTTCGTTCATGTGTGGACCATTTAGAAATTCCTTTAAGATATGTTTACAACATATTTTTCAGAAAATACTTATAATTTATATTAAAAAACACTTGTGCGTATGTATTAAAGAAGCTGTTTGTGTAAAACAAAAGGAACTGACAGAAAATGACATTGCAGAATACACATCAAAATGGCTTTCTCAAGCTACTGTAAGAGTTCAAAGAGATAAGTACGTACATTTTTTCATTAGGCACATCATGATTACTTACAGGTTAATCAGATTATTTGATTTGATATTAAATCGGATTATATTTTATTGTTCTGTCAACAACTAAGCTTGAACAAATGGACGTTACTTTTTCTGTTTAATATGTTGAGAAAATTCTGTATATTATCAGAATATAAAATTTTTGCAATTTTGTTATAACATATTAGTATGCTTTGACAAAAATGTAAAACATTTTAAATTAGAATATAATAATTACGAATATGATTTGAATTCAAATGTATAATTTTAAGTTTTCTATTAATAGTTTAGACATATTCAGGAAGAAAAATAAAATTAAGAGAGAACAAACGACGTTACCAAAGAATAATACCAAAATTTTATTCTCAATATATCATATAGCAGACAGTTCATAGAATATATGAAAGACAATTTATAGAAGACAATTTAAGATAATTAAATATCTTATTACTTTGATCAATTAATTCTTAAAAGTCGCCAGCAGTTTTTTATTTTGATGTTTTTGTACACCTTTATTTTTGTTTATTATTCAAAATTATAATTAATATCAATTATTAATTACATACATAATGTTTATGTTCATATAAATGTTCATATAAAAATACTTATTAGGTTTTCATACGTATTTTTGTTCTTACATATTCAAGTTTAAAATGAAAGGTATACTTGAATGCAATTTAAGTTAATTTTTGTTTTCATTTATAAGGTTTGTACCAAAATGTTCACATGTATATGTATTATTATATATACACACAGATTAATATATGAATTATAATAAAGCGTTATATGTATATGTAATGTAATGTAATATTTATTGATTCCCCTTGGGGTTACAAGGCGTTTTTTTAAAGGAACGTGCCCAAACCTTTTTCAACCTCTCTCTCATAACCTGGCGCTTTTCCAGGGAGCGTTCCCGAATCCTTTACATCTTTCTTTTCCCTCCGCGACCTGGCCATAGGCGACCTCTACACACTTTTTTCCCTCCCTCCCCTCGACCCACCCCTCCTGCCTCTCCTCCCGCCCTTCCCGTTCCGTTGTCTCTCCCATTCCCTGATCTTTCTTCTTTCTCCTTCTCCTCTCTCGTTCACTCTCTTCCTCGTCCTCCGTCCTCCCTTTCTCGCTCCTCCTGTTCCACTTTCCATCCTTCTTCTGTCTCGTCCTCCGTCCTCTCCTTCTCGCTCTTCTTGAGTCATTCTCCTTCCTGCATCCTTTCCTCTTTTACTCC